GTGGCAGTGCTCCTCCACCAGGCACTGCCCTGGGGGCTGCCCGCAGCCGCAGGAAGCGCCCAGCCCCATTCCCACCAGTGCAGGACACGCAGCATGGCCCCACCAGCTCAGCCAACCCCTCAGGGACGCCCCTGGGCAGTGGCAGTCCTCCAGACACCAGCGTCCCCATGGATTTGGACACCACGCCAGCTCTTGACATCAGTCTGGCCAGTGATGTCCCCATGGACGAGGACAGCCCGTCAGGCTGCGACCTCTCGCTGGCCAGTGACGTGATCATGGATGAGGACAGCCCATCAGGCTGTGACCTCTCGCTGGCCAGCGACGTCACCATGGATGAGGACAGCCCGTCAGGCTGTGACCTCTCGCTGGCCAGCGACGTCACCATGGAGTGAGGACACCTTCCGGAGGGGTGACACCACTGCCAGCCACTCGGGCCCACTCCGCGTCCAAGCCATTGGGGCCCCTGAGGTGACTCCAGCCAGCGACATTGTGCTGCGTGGGAAGATCCTGCTGAAAGGGACTGGGAGCCACTTGGATTGCTCCCAGGGAGCCGTGGGCACCAGGCGGGATGGTCACAGCAGCGTCCCCATGCCCACGGACCATTGTGGCACCAGTGGCACCAGCCCCCAGCCCAAGAACACCTGGCTCTGCCCGGCCAAGAAGATGCCGCCAACTGACTGCGGTGTCCCCAAGCCTTGCCAAGCCATCCTGAGCACGGGACACTGCAACGCAGGCGGCACCAAGCCTCAAGACCCTGAGCAGGGTGCGGGCACAGAGCTGCCACCGCCTCAGAGCAGCGTGTCAGCAAGCAACATCGCTCTGGAAAGGCGGGGCATGAAGAGGAAGAGGGGCTCTGGGCCAAGCACTGGGAGCAAGAGCAAGGCTTCCGCAGCCAGGGCTGGGGCAGGAAGCCATTGAGGGACAGATAGTTTGGGGATCTGTCCCAGTGGGAGGGAGGGATAGATCGTTTGGGGATCTATCCCAGCGGGAGGGAGGGACAGATCGTTTGGGGATCTGTCCCAGTGGGAGGGAGGGACAGATCGTTTGGGGATCTGTCCCAGTGGGAGGGATAGATCGTTTGGGCATCTCTCCCAATCTGAGGGAGGGAGGGAGGGTGTTTGTGTAGATAGGGGTGTAGATAGAGATGGAAATAGAGATGTAATGTAGATGTAGATATTGATGACCATTTTCTTCTGGTTATCAATTAAAAGATTTTATTCCATAACCTGTCTGTGTGTGTGTGGAATGGGGAGGGAGTGCAGGGCAGCAGCGGGAAATGATACCAAGGAGATCCACCAAGGCTCCAAGGGCAGCCAAAGGGCACTCCAGGCCTGAGTCGGTGCCGGAGGTGCAGGCACTCATGGAGGGCCCCCTTCCCCCGGGGAAGCAGCCCTTTGGCATGGGAGCCAGGCCAGAGAGGTCCATGCAGGACTCACGCACACGGCCCCACGGCGAAAGCAGCCCTCAGCACAGCCTGGGCGCTGTCCTCCCGCTCTGGGGCTTTAGAAGGCTGTTCCCACTGCTCCCAGTGAGCCCACCATGTCCCCAGTCATGTCACTGCAGCCCCAGACAGAGCTCCTCCAGGCTGCCTTGCCTAAACCAAGCCTTTCAATGACCCTCTGTACAGGGGTTCATTCTGATTTCCAGTTTATCTGCCATTGCTTTGCTGGCTCTCCAGATGCTGGGAGGGGAGCCCTGGTCACAATGCTGCCATCCCTTGGAGCCCACTGACTGTGAGGGAAGAGGGCTGGCACCTGCACTGCTCCTGTCTGGTTCCAGTGCTCTGCTGGATTCATCCTCAACCCAGGCATGCCCTGTTCTCCTGGTTCCTTCTCAAGGGTTTCATCACAGGAACAGGGTGCTCCTCTCAGCCTCAGCTGATCCCACCATCAAGGGGTGTATCCTTAGCTCCAACCTCACATCTTCTTCCTTAAAGCCACCATTGTCATTCTCCATTAGGAACCTTCCATTTCAACCCCAGCAGGGCCTGCACAAGGCTTCTCCCCAATGTCTCCTACACAAGCTGTGCACACCCAATCCTTTCTACCTTTTACTGTCTTTGCCACAACTTCACCACTTTCTCTTTCAGAGCTTTCTGACCTGGGTTTTTCAGCTCTGTTGTAAATCTGATATATTAATTTTGTGCTTCGAGAACGTATCTCTATGTTTGGGCTCTTAGGATGAGAGGAAACAGCTTTAAGTTGTGCCATGGGAGATTTATACTGGATATTAAGAAAATATCTTCACAAAAAGGGTTGTCAAGCACTAGAAGAGGCTGCCCAGGGAATTTGTGGTGTCAGCATCCCTGGAAGAAGTTGTGGTGTCACAATCCTTGGAAGTATCTAAAAGACGTGTAGATGTTCCAGTTGGGGACGTGGTTTAGTGGTGGGCTCGGCAGTGCTGGGTTAATGGCTGGACTCAATAATCTTAAGGATCTTTTACAACCCAAAAAATTCTCTGATTTTATGAAATCCACTGGGATTTTCTGCTACAACCCTGCAGGGCAAATTCGTATATATTTTTTTACATGCTCTGGCCTAGATGGGCATCTTTCTTCTGCTGAACATAGAATAATCTTCATTTTGAACTTACCCCCTTCTTCTCTTCCTACTAGTGCTATTTTCAGGATTGGATTTCTAACTTTTCTTGTCTGACATATTCCTCCGACCTCTCCAGCCTCTGCCTCACCTCCCTGTAGAGTGTGACTTGTATTATCATTCTCCTCTGCTTCTGGAAACATGGACATGCTGCAGAAACATGGACATGCACACCATGAAATTAAAATATAAGAACGAATTTAGAAAGAATCCTGAGAGACAACAACTAATCCATCTCTCAGCCCTGGAGCAGGATCCTATCAACTTAAATAATTCCCTAATAGTTATTGTCTCGCCTGTTTTTCCAAGCCACCCAGGATGGAGGATCCACACCTTCCCACATTTCAGTATTGTCACTGTTTGAAAATTCCCCAGTGCCTAATGTAAGCCCTCTGTGATATTTTTTCCTATCCAGCCCTTGTTTTTGTAGACATATGTGATATGACTGGGTGTCCACTGAGCACCTTAATAGTTTTCACCTTCTCTCATAGATCTTATTTTCCAGGTCTCTTATTGCTGCAGATTGTGTCTTCTCCTTGCTATGCTTGGTTTCCTCTCTGAAAAGGCATATGAAAAGGCTGCAGCTTCACACCCTCCCTCCATGAGAGGTGGAAAACAGGTGAGTTCTTTGTAATTCAGTGAGACTAGTGTAGTCATGTTGTTCAGGGAAAATCCCCCAGGGACTTCAGTAATCATCTTAAATGAAAGGGCATGAAATTAAAATCACCAGAGACAGTCACAGCCTCCCATCTTCATAACTGTATATGCAGTCCCACATGTAGTTAAGTAGCAGGATCACCCCAATCTGAGTACCCCAGCCTGCCTGGGGACAGGGTTTTATTCAGTTTGAGTTTTAAGACCACTGAGGAGTGAATTTTAGTCCTGAACAGGGTGCAGTCAGAAGTCTGATTTCATTTCAATGTGTCTATGACCATTTCTGAGCTGAAAAAGAATTTCAAGGTGAAGATATAATTTTCCCTTGTCTCCTTGAGATATCAGCTTAATGGACAATGGAGGTCCAAGGCTCTTGTACAGTGTGGTTGCACTGATTTCCATTATCACGGCACTGTGGACTTATCTAAGAAGAGGTCCTGCTGGACTACTCAGTGTATAGCAAAATGTAACAAGGCCACTGTCCTTTGAAGAGGTTAGTCTGAAATGGGAAAAGCATATAGTAAGGTGGGAGAGAGAGAGGCAGAGAAGAGCTCTGCTGCTGGCAGAAAATCAAAGCAAAAGAATGAGTGGAAACATCAGTGAGATCTGTGATTTTTCTCTATGGATTTACAGGAAGACTTTGGCAGATCTGGGAACAACACTTAGCTCATTTACACATCAGTAGAAATCTTCAGTAGCGAAGCTCTCTCTGCTTTTCACCAAACACCTATCCCTGCCATGTTCAGGGTGAGACTCCCTTCCTATCAGTCTGGATTTCCCTGTTACCTCCCCAGAGGCAACCCTTGTGCTGGCCTACAGCTGTCCTGGGCAGCCGGATGGACTGGGTAGCCTTGGAATGTCCTTGCACCTTGTATTTGTGATTCCTCTCTGTATGTCTGTGTGCCCCTGCTGTGCAGGACTTGTTGTTTGGTTTGCCCTTGTGTCTGGAGCCCAGATGAGACCAGCATCCTCCTGTGCAACACAGCAAAAAGTCCCTCTGGAGCAACATCTCACCCAAAGACTGACACTGCAGTTGCGAACGGGCGCACAGACACTTCAGTTTTTCTGCGATGTCAATGCAAAAAGTCCTGGAGGACCATAAACTGGTTCAGCCTGCTGCAGGACAAGAGGATATCTTCAAGGTGGGAAATGGTTTCAGTGAGGCAGAACATAAAACCTGTGCATGTGAGCCAATCACAAGTTGGTCACTGCTGCTTGTCATGAGATGTCAGGGCATGGAAAACCTGCTATAACATCACCTAAGTTGCGACCAGGTTGTCTCACAGACAACCTGTGCTTTCTCCCTGCTGACTTGGTTTAATTCAAAGCCCTGAAATACAACAGAAGACTTTCTTATCAACTTCTAAGTGTTTTATATCAAACCCCAAATGCTGGAGGACCAGCTTTCAACACCAGAAACCCTTCCCTGAGCCTGCTCCAAGGTGTGCATGGGCAGTCAGTTTGCAAACTGAAGCTGTACACTGCCTCAGAGAGGAAGCTTACTGCTTTGACACTGCCTGCTTTGCCTCTGTAATCATCTGGCTGGTCCTTGCTATACTTTGCCTCTTTGGGCCTAACAGGGCTGTCCAAGTGATTTCTTCTCCATCATTCATATGGATGGCAGAGACTGAATGGTGTTCAAAGCCTGTACCAGAGACTGCACCTGATATCACCAAGAAAGCCAGTCTTTCCTCATAGGCTGCATACTCTAAACAGAGGAAAGGCAAACAGCATTACTCATCTGAAGAAGGAGGCAAAACTTGTGCTTTAAAAGAAAAAGAAACAAATGCTGATGTTAGCGCTCAGAAATATCTATATTCTTCAGAACACTTCCCCAGTCTCCACTTCCCCAAAAACACACCCTTTCCCTGCAGTTTATAAAGCCCTTGTGGCACACGGTGCTGTGATAGTCAATAAAAGCAAAGATAAATAATTTGCTGATCAAATAAAGTTTGTAATGTTGTAGTAAATGGTTTACTTAAGTTGCAGAGTATTAAACCACGATGTTATGTTATTGTGGCGAACTATATCCTATTGTATTGGGCGGGCTTCATCCTGTTATGCTGATTGTAAACTTTAAATGTACTTGTAAGGAGGAAATGCATAAAGCTATATAAGAAGGATGAGGATGCGCAGGCGCAAGTGAATGGGTTAGCCGGAGGAGCCTGGGGGAGGACCTGCTGCCTTCATCCTAGGATCACCTGAATGGAAGAAATTGCAGCATGTATAAGAGGCAGACTGGGACTTTCTTAACTTGCAGACTGTCAGCTAACCCCCTACCAACAAGATAGAGTCCGTGCAGTAGGAGCCAATGACGTGGCGAGAAGAAGCTGGGAGGGGAGGAGATTGCACCGTGTATAAAAAGGTGGGCTCTGGTTTCTTGAACTTGCAGACCATTGGTAGAGCAGGAGACTCCTCGGCCACCCAGCGCTGTTTTGCTCATTTGACTTTAATAAATTTTGGTATTTTAAATTTTAAAATTATTTGTGATCTCTTTGACTATAACAATTTGGTGCTGTGATTTGGATCCAGACCTTCTGTGCTGTCCTCGTTTGGATGGTCCTGGGGAGGGTCTTCTGCGGTACAGATTCTGGATATCTGACCGAAATCTAAGACAAATGAGCAAAAGAATATACTGCAGTTCCCCGTAATTTTTGTGCACGAAGATCCGAACGAAGAGTCAGGAGTGAGTATTTGCGATTCCGTTCGGGATCCGAACGAAGACTCAGGAGTGAGTAAGTATTTGCGGTTCTGTTCGGTCGGGGATAAGGGTTCCTGGAGTGTAAACGATTGAGACGTCCTTTAGGATGAATGGAGTGCAAACCTCCAAGTAGTGTGGTTCTTATAGCCCACGAGGGCGTAAGCCACGAAAGGAAGGAAGCGAGTGTGAGTGTGTGAGAAGGCACTTTTGGAAGATGGGACAGAAGAAAAGTAAATCTTCTGCTCCCATGGGTGACTTTGAGGTAAAGTTACCAGAGGTACCTCAAGATAGTCCTCTGGGGATGATGATAAAATATTGGAATGATTACCCCTCTAGAGAAGGGAAGACAAGAGAAAAGATGGTACACTATTGTATGGAAGTTTGGGGAGGAAAACAGATAAGGCAGGACCATCTGTATTGGCCAGTTTATGGCTCATTTGAGGATTGGATTTGTCAAGCTTTAAACATTTATGTGCATATTAAGGAACCATTTTGTTTAGAAGAAAGTGAATACGCTAGTTTATGGATAAGATCAGATACCAGAACCTATTTGTTCCCCTTAAAGGAGAAGAAAGGGCAAGGGAATAATTGGGATTTGGGAGATTCCCAGAAGTCACCTCCACCGTACATCCCACCTCTGCCCATGCCTGCTCCATGACCTCCGTGCTGCGCTTCAGCCCAAAATGGCCACTGGAGTGTACCTGTCCCCACTGCTCCTGCAGAACCGGCCCCCACTCCCCCTGCCACAGCGCGGGAACCCTCTTCCTCAGAGGCCACTTCCCCTTCCACAGCGCGGGAACCCTCGTCCCCGGAGACCACTCCCCCATCTTCACCCCCGTTTACCGAAAACGGGAGAATGACAAGAAGTGGGACCAAAGGAAAAGGAAGGAGGGAAAATCAGTTATACCCTTTGAGAGAAATTGCAGTGGGAGGACAACAACCGGGGATAGGATTTGTGTCGGTTCCCTTAAGTTCAGGGGATGTGAGAAAGTTTAAAAAGGAAATGGGAAACCTATTGGAAGACCCTCTCGGTGTAGCTGAGAGGTTTGACCAGTTTTTGGGTCCTAATACATATACTTGGGAGGAAACGCAAGCAATTTTGGGAATATTATTTACTGCCGAAGAGCGGGAAATTATTAGAAGAGCAGGGATGAGAAATTGGGACCAAAGGCATCAGCAAGGTCCAGCCGCTGATGTTAAGTGGCCCCCTCAGAGGCCCAATTGGAACAATCAAGATGAGGCTCATCGAAATCATATGTCTGACTTACGAGACATCATAATTCAGGGCATTAGAGAAGCTGTCCCTAGAGGACAGAAATAAAGCATTTAAGGAACACCAGAAAAAAGAGGAAACCCCCACAGAATGACTGGAAAGATTGAGAAAAAGTTTACAGCTTTATTCCAGCCTTGATCCAGATACTGAAGTGGGGCAAGTTTTGCTTAAAACACAGTTTGTAGTAAAATCATGGGAAGACATTAGGAAAAAGCTAGAAAAGATTGAAGATTGGCAAGGAAAGGTTTTGGATGAGCTACTGAGAGAAGTTCAGAAAGTGTATGTATGGAGGGATGAAGAAAGTCAGAGAAGGCAGGCAAGGATCTTAGTGGTGGGTGTAAGGGAAGGACAAAGGGGAAATAGGGATCAGAGACGAAGGACTCCTCGTGGATCTGGCAGACGTTTGCCTTTAATAAATTTCGGTATTTTAAATTTTAAAATTATTTGTGATCTCTTTGACTATAACAGCGCTGTGTTCACAAAGATTTGGCAGCTCCTTGTGCTTACATCCCATCAGCATGAAAGTATCCCTTGGACTCAGCTTCCTCCTGGCTTTCATGGACCCAGGTGAGTTTTTTGCTAGGACCTGCTGAGTTGTGGGACACAGAAGAGATCTGAGAATGGGTGCTTCGTGTGGGAGGCTGTTCCTGCCATCTGAGCCATAGAAACACCTCATATGGGGGGATTTGTGCTGCAGAGGGGCGACCAGTCTCAGGGGATCTTTGGGTGCTATGAGCCAAAGTGCAGATGAGGGTGTTGGCATTTACAACATGACACTGCAGTCTGAGTTCACGTGGTGCTCACTGCTGGTCTGGCCAGGAAAGCTGTTGGAGTGACCCAGGTTACTCTGAGGCAGACAGACCTTTGGTCAGCTGAGTGGGTCTCTGGACAAGTTTACCACAAGCTTAGTGGCCCATTTATTTTACTTGTGTCCAGAGTTGTGTGACATTTTAGACATTATATGTCATCTCGGCTGTCCTTCAGCTCTGCTACAGAGAAGCACACATGTCTTGGGCCATACCTGACACTCCATGAAGATGTTACAGTCACTGCAAGGTGCCTCAGTTGGCACCTGGGTTTCAGGAGCTGATACATGCCTGGGACCTATTAATCTATGCTCTGGACCCTTGCAGGTGTGTGCCATGGAAGACATCGTATTTGTCCTCTGTTGATAAACACTTTATTCCTTTCTAAGTGTTTCCTGCTGACAGTCTGATATTCTGGTCTGCTTAAGGTGTTCCAGCAGGTAGTTGGTAAAGTGGTTTCCCCTAATGCCTACAAAGAGATACACAAAGAGATAATGCCTACAAAGAGATAATGTCTACAAAGGAATTCTCCAATTTTTACAGAGCACAGTCAATACCCACTGGCAGCTCTTGTTCTCCAGCCACTCAGGTGCCCCTGCTTACTGCAAAGAGAGAATTTGGGAGTTGTGGATCAAGGGACACTTGAATGCCTGCCAGGACTGAGGGGTTTGTAGGATTGCTTTCATCAGCAGCTCCAGGAAAACCCCACCACAAATTGCACAATGCAACAGGAAAAATAAGAGAAGAGGAATGTGAAAAGTGCTGATCAAACACTGAAGTCAAATGGTAATGAAAGGGGAAGTGAGATCCCTTATGACTCTTACACAGGAATATGTCCTCCTTCTTTCCCCAGGGACATGCCTTCAGTGTGAGGTTTGTCACAGCATAGGAAGAAGCTGCTCTGGCCCCATGAAAACCTGCACTGGTGGTGAAGATACCTGTGGCATCATTCTGCACGAGGTCCTAATAGGTAGGTGAGACATCTGCTATATCTGTGTGCCATTGTAGCTTTCGGAGTAGGGCTGGGGCAGGTGTCTCTCTCCCCACTTCTGTCACTGGTATTATGGTCCACCCTTGGTTAAACTGTTCATTTTCCTTTTACTGGCAGAGGAGCCAGAGATCAGGATAGTCCAGGATTGAGAAAGCTCTCTATTCCTCTGTCTTGAGAAGCAGCTTCTTACTAGAAGGTTTTGGTTCTTAGTTGCGGAGGGGAGAACCATGAGCTACACTAGGCTGCTGACATCTGGCTCTGAGGGTGCAGTGGTGACGTGTGGAGAGGGAAGGTGGCCTGCATCTGACCCCCTTCCTTGAGCAGGGAAGGGGACACCAGACAACCAGGCAGTACCACCAGGGCTGACCTATCACTGTATCACTGTAATCGACATCACAGAATAGTTTGGGTAGGAAGAGACCTTGAAGATCATCTCATTCCAATGCCCTGCCCTGGCCAGGGACACCTTTCACTAGAACAGGTTGCTCAGAGGCAACGTCCAGCTTGGCCTTGAACACTTCCAGGGATGGGCCATCCACAGCTTCTCTGCAACCTGTACAGTGCCTAATGACCCTCAGAGCAAAGAATTTCTTCTTAATACCTAATCTAAATCTACCCTCTTTCAGTCTGAAGCCATTCCCTCTTGTCCTGTCATTCCATGCGCTTGTCAAAAGTCCCTCTCCAGCTCTCTTTTAGCCCCTTTAGGTACTGGAATGTTGCTATAAGGTCACCCAGGAGATTTCTCTTCTCCAGGCTGAACAACTTCAAGTGTCTGAGCCTGTCCTCACTGGAGAAGTGAGTCTAGTGTAGCTCATGGTTCTCCCCTCTGCAATTAAGAACCAAAACCTCCCAGTAAGAAACTGCTTCTCAAGATAGAGGAATAGAGAGCTTTTCCCATCCTGCACTATCCTCTAACCTGCAGGCCTCTAATGCCCAGCTCATGCTTCTTTATGCACATTCTGCTGAGCACATGGTCCATCGCAGCCACAAGCATCCTGACATGGGCAAGTCTGGTCTACACCATCAACCAAGCCCAAAAGGTGTAACGGGGAGCAGAACAGTTAAATTGAGCCTTGAGGTGCTTCAAGGATGAAAGGTGACTTTGTTCAAGCAGAAGGAAGATGTGCAGCTACTTAGGAGTTGGTGCAGGAGCTATTGGAATGGGAAGGGAGTTACCTTGTGTTTAACAACTTGGCACTGCCTTCTGCTTTGTTACAGGGGGAATGGCAATCCCTACATCCATCAAGTCCTGCATGCAATCCAACATGTGCAACCATGGCCCTGTCACCATGAACTATGGGAAGGTAAAAGCAAAGAGCCACATAGCTTGCTGCACGGGTGATGACTGTCGAACCATCTCTGTCTCATGTAAGCTCCTTTTTTATCCTTATAGCCCATCCCCTCTCTGGCCCATCCCAAGGTGAGGCCTTCCAGGCTAAACCATGACCTTGGTCATTCCTCTCATACCCTCATTAACACCAGTTACAGCCCATCTCTTTCATTCCAGTGCCACCAGATGACAACGTGCCCAACGGGTACCAGTGTCCTGCCTGCTACAGCATGGACTCCTTTCAGTGCAGTCACGAAATCGTAAACTGCACTGGATCTGAAACCCAATGTGTTGACCTTGCTGGGTTAATGAATTCTGGTAACTGCCTTTTATTTGGGCTGTCTTTCATGTTTTTGGTAAAATGGGTGAAACTAGTCTAAGAGGAAGCATCACTGAGAAATAAAAACAGGTAAAAAGTGTGGGGAAAAAAAAAGAGGAAGAGCAAGAAACTGAAAGGGGAAAGCTGAAAGTTTAAAGCTGATCAAAGGGCAGGGGTGTTTTTTTCTTCTTTCTTCCCCATTATGCATGAATAACTGCTGGACTTCCTCATAGCGCAGCATAACTGAGGTCAAGAGGAGAACTGGCTTCCTGAGGCAGTCTGATACATGGGCATGTAACAAATCTGACCAAGGCCCTGGACCTGCTGGCCCTAGCTAAGATGTATGAGGATGAATCTGGATCTAAGCTAGTTGCCAGCTCAGTGGAGGTTTAGGCGGAACTACACAGAGCCATTGGCTTTTCCATGAGGTGATGCTGGGAACAAGATACTGTTATAGTGGTGCTTCTGTGTGTACAGAGCCAGGGACATAAACACTGCAGCTGAGCCTTTGGGGTACCCAAAGATCTTCCTTGAGAAGGAACTCCAGTCTTATAATGACTCCTTCAGGACTCTTTTTTCCACCCTTAATTACACCTGTGATTAGAGAGAGGAATGCCTGTTTCCTGGTCACTCTCCTTTCCTCCCATGCTGCAGGTAAAGGACTTCCACCTTTCGTGGCAATCCCACCTGTGCTCCAGTAGACAGGAAAACTAAGATGGAAATTAAAGGCAGCAACACCTGCTGTAGAAACAGACTGAAAAAAGTTATCTTGTGTATGATTATAGATGAAGTTCCTCTGAGTTGATAATATCGCTGGGAGATGATGTGATGCCTGAAGGTCTTTGCTATAGACTTTTGAAAATGTGTTGTCCAAACCCTGAATTAGATCATGTTTCACAGAGACAACATGAAGGAAAACGAGAATTTTCTGAGTCACAGCAATGGAAATAGAGTGGTGGAATTATTTCAGTGTATCACTGAAATAAAAATGCTCCTAATTTGTCTTAACTTGATTGATCAGCCACTGTAGATAGAGAAGACCTGTGTGGTGTGATTAGCTATGCAGAGGAAGCAGAGGTGTAGGGGAACACAGGAAGGTGAGGAACTAGTGAGGCGCCTTTACAGGTTATTTGTATCTAAGATAAAAATGCCCAACAGAGTATTCCAGCCCTCCATAACCTGCACAGCAGAGAAATGTGAGCAGTGTTAGCAAAAGCAAGCAACAGGAACAAAAGTATCTGTTTGGAGAGTTAGGCACCCAGCACCTGCTCAGCTCTCCTTCTCAGGTAGGTGCTCCAGCGGTGATAAAGGACAGGTTCAGGTTTCAGTGGGCATGGCACCATGTTTCGCTCTTGGTTTGGCTAAAATCTTGTAAAGCCTTCAAGGATGGATTAATCTTAATAAATGGCTCAGGCTATATTGTCTTTGAGACTTCTCAACCCCATGTAAAATATGGCTGAGAGATTGTCATACAGTTTGAATGCCATGAGAGGTCGCGAGAGAGAAGGAGGCAATGAATTCCTGGAATAGTGTCACACAGCCCTGGTTTCTTTAGGAAGCCAGACAAAGTTTGAACAGAAGAATCTTTAAATGTAAGAAAGATAACTATTTAAGACCTTTTCAATTTTTAAATTTAAATTACTAGAAGTTTTAAAAATCATCTTTATTCAGCAGAAAGAAAGAAGACAAACCCTAAACCCTTTGTATTTCAAGTCAACCAAGGTGACCTTGCTGTTTCTTCAAATTTGTTCAGAGGATGAGAACAGACAGGAATGGGTTGGTGGGTTTAGAGCCAACTGGATGTAAGGAATGGGTAGTTCTTGGGTTGAAAATGGGGACTGCAGTGGCCAGGGAGGGAATGACTGTGGGGTCTGGGTCCACTGACACATGGCATGTACTTCTCCTCCTGTGTAGCTGGACTGACTGTGAAAGCTGCCATGAAGGGTTGTACCACCGTTTCCGAATGCACTATGGCAGGAGATGGAAAAAACAGTGTGGGGATGATGGACATAAAGCTGAAGCGGCTCCAATGCAGACCAGCTACTTCTATGGACAGAGTGGTTTTTGCTCTTGCCCCTCAACACACCGTCTTCCTCCCTCTCCTATCAGGATTCATCCTGGAGAAGGTACTTTTCTGACTCTCGCTAGTGCTGTGTTGAGCAAAACCCATGACAAACTCCATCAGTGGTTTCTATCTCAGTCCTGTTCGCTGTAGCTTCTCCGTGTGGCGAGTTTGTTTTCAGATTAGCTCTGCTTTCATGTTTTCACAGAATAAAGACAGTACTTGCACTTCTTCTGTTTCCTCATTGATTTAATCTAATTTAAAGCTTCTTCATAGGTTCAATTGTGGTCAGTTTTGTGTTGCATTCTCTCAGTGCTTTGTCTACCCTTGGGACTGTGGGAGACTGCATGAGGTGCTCAAACACTGCACAAGCAATGGGAACTCTCAAGGCAGCCCCAGAGTTTACACCCACTATCTCAGGATAAGTGGCAACTTTCAAAGCCACTTTTCCAGGCTCTGTAAAGGACTGGAGGTGAGTTCCTGAGAGGTTCACTCTGGTTAGAGAGGTCACTTGCACCTTTTTCCTTCCCTTGTACCCTGTTTGTCTGTGGTAGGAGGAGTCCCTCAGCACAGAGGGCTGTTTGTGGCCCTGGGCAGCCCTGGAATGGTCTTTGCTTCAGACATGAGTCAGTGACCCTTTGCTACAAGCAAACTGCTCCTGGCAAGAGTTTTCTCCTCATGGTTTTTCTTGCCTTACCAGACACTCTCCCATTCAATCTTAAGTTCCATGATTATCTGGAATAAATGCTTACCTCGGGAACATTTAGTTTCATAAAATCTATGTAAGTACATTATCCCTGAACATATCTCCTGTACATTCATGCAGAACATTACATTACTGTCCATGGCACCCCCACAGCAGATCTTGATCCGCTTCAATGGCTCAACCCTTTGCTTTCTGTTCATTCCACTCCAACCTGTGATGTTATCGGGATGGAAAAACTGAGTGGGGCTGTTCAGCCTGCTCAAGACTTGGGTGAGACACGTTCAGGGAGCCGTGGTGCTGGTGGGGTGTTTAGGGGAGGACAAGGAGGAGAGCAGACATCAATATTTGTGACAAGGGTTTGTGGTGCAGAGAGGAGAACCAGCTCAGTTTTGACCTCTGACTCAATGTTGTGGCAAACAAAGCTGTTGCCATCTGTGGCTGCATAAATGATGGAATGACAAGTGGAAACAACCCTGCATCTTTGTGATGGATACACTAGTGCTTGGTCCTGTTCCAGTATCCACATTTTTAAATGCTGTTACAAATGGAAAACATGAAATAAAATGCTTTACAGTGAAAGGAGCATAAGCCTGTGATTTTACTGAAGACAGAGATGTGACTTGTTTACAGGCTATAAACACACTTGTATAGAAATGATAAAATCTTAAAAGGTTCTTTTATACATGGGAGTACAGCAGTAACCTGACAAAACTAAAGGAAAAAAACCACACCATCAATGTGCACAGACCGCAACCATTAGAGCAAAGGAGTGACCAGTTTTTGATGTCTGAAATCCAGCATGAAGCCCTTTCTGAAATGCTTTAGTTGCAGGCAGGTTAAAGGCAGCTCAGGCAGAGCTGGTAGAAATGTGATAGACTTGAGTATGGAGGAAGGTGATGAAATGGTGAGGCCTTCTAATCTCAAATCTGGCGTCTGAGGAAGGAGATGATGCTGAAGTGTGTTCTGATAAAAGCAACACAAAAGGCAGAAAAAACCCCTGGTGGCACCAATTTACAAAACCAAATCAAACAGTGGGATCTCTTTATCTTGAGCAAGGACTGATGAACAAGCAACACTTGCCTCTGAGTATCTGCAGGGTGTGACACCAGAGGAGGGAGCATGTCCATAGATTCCCTGCAAACAGCCATTCTGGGGAACAGAGTTTAATTGAGGATATGCAGCAAGGAGCAGCCCCTGAAGTCATAGGCATGTTGGGCAGGGCCAAGGAGAGATGAGGCCAAAACTCATCACAGTAAGTGGAATGACTCCTGCTGATTTGAATGGGCTTTGAACCAGGCCCTAGACACCAAACTGGGTTGTTTCCATCTGCAGTTTCTCCTTGTAATATATACAAACCCTACTCCCACACAGAGGCACACATGGCAGACATGTAAATACCAGATCCTCCCTTAGATCTTGCAGATACTTCAGCTACCAGGCATGTGAGACACAGACACTTGCAGCTCTGAATGGCTGGATGCTGCCCTCCCCACCCACAACACCCACCGTGGCAACAACAGCCTTGATCTCCCCCTTTGTAACGTGAAGAGGGCTCAGACCTCTTCCCAGCCAGTGGAAAACTGACCCTGTCCTGCCATTTCCCTCTCTCTCCTCTGAGGTTTTGGTTCTGTCCCAAAATGCTGAGCTGGCCAGAAAGCCTGGTGGCAGAGAGAAAACCTGTTGGTGATCTGAAACAGGGAGATGGACGTGCAGGAATTTTGCTCAGCAGGCTGGTGATTTTGAAGGGTGGAGGGAAGGTGAGGATTTGATCTGTCATTTGGTGGACACAGCTCTGAGCTCTGTGGGTGTACTGGGGAGCAGCGGGGCAGGAGAGGTTAGGGAGAAGGGGTTGTGTGCAGCCATGTGTCGTGCAAGGCAGTTCTTAACAGATACTAAAACCCCTCAGCTCCTTCTTTCCAGCACATGTGGCTGGAATGGTTTTTCTTCCACTTCTTGAGAAGCATTCCTGTCCCTAGCAGTTTCATACCAGGAGCTCAGGACACCAGGACACAGTTTATCTGACCAGAGCTTGGCCTGGGGTTGTATTTGCAGAGGAATGTGAAGTTGTTTCTTTTATGTCATGACTATGTTTCCTATGAGGAAGCTTTTCCAGCACCCTGGGCTAGCAGGTTCAGTGGGTATTTTGGGGATTACACTTCTTCAAAGGCAAAGTGAAGATAATCAGTGAGTGAACAAGCAGTCTTTATTGCAGACAGTGTGTTCTGCTTCATACCAGAAAGATAACAATTTTTCCCGCATCTTTCAGAAGAGGACAGTGGGTCTTGGCCCATCTGACCAAATCAGGGCTACTGCAAAGGGTAGGTGTCTCCACCCAGCATGTCTTCAAATGCCTGGAGTGGCCGAGTCAATACTGTTCTTGGAGACCAGGTTTGTACTGACGGACCCACCACTGACAGAGACACCTCCGCTCTAGAACATAAAATGTTGGGTGGGAAGGATCCCAACCCCAGGGTGCTGTCCTTTCCTCAGAGAACATGTTTTACCTTATAGCTGTGCTCCACGGGTCACTGCACTCAGGAATAGGCTGATGTTGTGTCAAAACCTGCATGGTCTCGTCTCCTAACTCCTTGGACACTCCTACTGGATGAAAACCTGCTGTTCCCAAATTTTCACACATATATTCCCTTCTCTGGATTGCATTTGTGAAGAACAGCATTTGGTACCCATCTCTCTTGCTGACAACATGGAAGAAGTACATCTCTCTTCCTATACATATCCGAATTATGGCAGAACATCTCAGGATCATAGAATCATTTAGGTTGGAAAAGACCTTTGGGATCATGGAGTCCTCTCATGTACATGAGTGAATAAAAATAAAATTCACCACTGCACCTAACTTGGAACTACCTAATAAATCACTCCAAATGACCATACTTCTAAGACTTACCAGTTATTAGAACAGGAGCTTACGTGCAGGTCAGTATACAAGGGCTGGATACTTGGTTGCTGCCACTGCAGACACACTTGTTTGGTTTTTGGATGTCACAGATCACAGGAAGGGAAAGTTTCTTTCTGCAGTTCACTGCCTCCCATGGTCACACCCCATGTCTAATTTCATGTCCAGGGAATAAACTCCTGAGCCTCCTGCTCAGAAAACTCTGTTGTGCAATGACAGATTCAGGCTTTATGCTCCAGAAGAATCTCGTAGGGAATATCAAATCCTAGTAAAAGCTTTCCAAGCACGTTTCTGCTGGAAACCTCCTGGGATGGTGTGCCCTGCTAGAGAAAACATGAAAACTATTGGCAGATGATATCCAAAGGAAAAGCTGGTTGTGGGCAATGGGCCCTGTGCAGGCTAAAGGGCCCTGTGAGGTTACTGCTCTAGGAAACTGCAAAGCCCCTTGTGGACCTCAGATGGGGGCCCATCTCATAGGGCTTGTTGGATTCAAAGAAGTTGGTGCAATTTGGGAAGTAGCTTGTCGCAGCCTAGGCAAAAAGTCTGGTTGGAAGGTTAGATTCAGTGGATGAGCTTGTTCAAGTTGATTCCCTTCTGGAGAACTGTGTTGAGAACTATTGCAGGATGATGATCTATCACTGCAAGGCTCAGGGTATGCTCAGGGTATGCCTTAAGAAGTCAGGCTTTTAATATGTGATTAAGTTCCCATACAATGTATCTGTAAAAGGATGAGTTAAAATGTTTTAATTGGTTAAATTCCCCCCTCCTTTTTTCTTTATTGTGTTGCTGAGTCCATGACTGAGTACCCATGTACAGTGACAGCAGGCTGAAACACAGTTTTGCTGGCCAGAAGTTTTTGAGAAATATGACTCAGTCTCCTTGGTCTAAGACTGTAGCTGTAACTTTATTTATCTGCGTCATGGTCTCAAACCTCTGCTGTTCACTCAAGAAATTTGCAGACACAAGCATGGGAAAGTCTTTTTCCCTAGAAAGGGGACTGAAATCATCAATATCTGCATGGTGGAAAGAGGGATGCTGTAAGAAATTCATTATGATGTTACGAGATTCATCAGATTACAGGAACTGATGATCATAATGCTGTAAGCTGCCAAAGCTGCTAACAAGTACCATCAGCCACGAATGTCCCCAGACAGAGTGTACGTGGTGCTTAGGACACTAACGACCTGTGGGAAACAGAAAAGCCATAGAATCACAGAATCACAGATTTGTTAAGGTTGGAAATGACCTTCAGGACCATAAGGTTCAACCTTTGACTGAGTACCTCCATGCCCACTAAACCATATCACAGGGTGCCACATCTACTTCTACTGTACGTGGCAAGTAGACCTGGTCATCAACCAACATCATTCAGGTGTTAGTAAGTAATTAACCAATAACATTAGCCATTTCCAGCTTCTCTTCCCTCCAGTTCTGAGTAGAAATTCCTGCCTGTGGGCTCTGTTCCCATTGGCTGTTGGGGAAGGTTAGGGGGTGAGCAGTGACAGACAGATGTGGAAATTCCTGTTTTGCATCTAGATGGCTGAAACTCAGTCCCTGTAGAAAACCCAAACAGCTCGGACCAGACCCGAACTGTGCATCTTCCA